CAATCTTCCTGCAACCGGCATCAGCGCATATGTTGGTAAATCCTTTTGCATCATTTCCGTCTCTTATTGCTCCATTGTAATATCAAATGGCCATTCGAATATTGTAATTGGTGGATGCGTCAATATATCTTGGGTAGATTTCCTTGGAATCAAATCTCGATGTCTTCTCACATGGGATTTTCAATTTGCCCATTAGCGAGAATGGGGTGGGACGAACCAGTGGGAATCATTACCCCCCGCCAAACATGCTGGGTACATAACATGATACACAGCTCATGAGAGGCTTTTTGATCCCGAACAAATGGATCAAATGAATTAATTGGAAAAATAGCCACATTTATGATCATGCGACCGTGTGGCGTTGCCTGGTGGATATATGACGTTTCCTATTGCACAATGTTTTGTTGGATGTTACTACCCAATAGTAATTTACTTGTCTTGGTGTGGCAGGTCCAGGTATTAGGCAGAAGGTACCTACAAACAAGCAAAAAGCAAGCAGGGTCAGAAGGAGCAGGTACAAGGTAGGTAGGTATTATTCACTAGCCACTAGCCACTTGCCTCATCCCTCCTTCTCAAACCTGCTTTGACTTGGATTGAAAGAAGCATGCGTGCGTACCTGCCTCGTTTGCACCATGGCTAGTGTCATATCTCCTCTCTCCTCCTAAGTATAAGAAGGTCACTTCTTCCACTCAGTTTCCATTCCTCATTCACATCAACAAACTCACTTCCACACCTACAACTACAAACTTCAAACAACTTTTTCAACTTTTCACCTTAAAACAAAACTCCATCAACATGTCTGACAGTCTCCGCAAAGGTGTTGGCGAGCAAGTCTCCGAGAAGGTCACTCCCGACTCCCAAAAATCCACCACCACCAAGATCGGAGAGAACATCTCTGGAGGTGCTGACAAGGCTGCTGGTGCCGTTCAGCCATGTATGCAATTCCCTTCAATTCCTCCCCTCTAATCTTCCTCTCGCGCAATATACTAACAACCCATCCTCACAGCCGACTCCAAGTCCACCACCCAAGAACTCTCCGACAAGACCCGCTCTGGAACAGACGATGCTCAAAGCCAAGGAAAGGGTATTCTCGGTTCCGTCACAGACACTGCCGGCGATGCTGCAAACACTGTTTCTGACACCCTCTCCAACACTGGTACGTTAACATTCCACTGCACCCCTCAAACAATGAACAAAAGCTGACCTATCTATTAGCCTCTTCCCTCACTGGCAACAAATAAATTTGTTTCTTTCAAATAATTCACATTGTTGCGGAGGAAGGCAGGACGATGAATGAATCGAAGCATTGTTATTTCTTTTAGCGTTGGGATTGAATGGGCTTTACTTTTGCTTGCTACACAGATAGCTTGCTTTTATGAATGTATGATATTCGGAAGGAAGGAACGGATGAATGACTGGTAATAGTCTTTAGTGTTGGTGAATGAAAATACCTTCACACATATACACCTTTTCGTCTTTTATTTTTCGTGAATGTGGTGTGAATATAATAAATATAAAAGTCGATGTGAATTTATTTGTGTAATAGGTTTCCTACTACACTCTTTACCTGCTAAAAATCTTACAAATCTTTTCGTTTGAGTCTCAACCTCCCTTTCCTCACTGAGATACCGACAATCAGACTCTATTCTATACATCACCATCTCTAGCCCAGCACTCAATTCCTTTCGCGTAATCCCAGTGTGCAATATATAACAGGAATACAATATGCTTCATTGAATCATCAACCCACGCACCAAGCAAGTACTCATGTGAAATATCTATGTTTCTTCAGTATCATATCATACACCCATTACTTCCTCGCTCTCATCTCATTGTATCCCCATTCCCATTCCATTCATAAAATTTCCTCACTCTACTTTCTCCACGACCATCTTCAATACCTCCTCGATGCCCTTCCCCGCATTCTTTGGATCCTTCGCTACCGCCTGCCAGTATTCCCCGTGGCGAGGTTCGCTCAGTATACATTTCTGTATCACATCCGCTCGTTTTTCCTATTTAAGCATATTAGTTTTGATCCAGATGCCAAACTCAACCACGCCACCGAGCCGCCTGTGCTCATTTTCATGTATAGAACCAGGGAGGTTGAGACTTACTTCAGTGCCATGCTGCAATAAAAACTTGTAATACCAAGCCCACGTATCACCCAAATCACTATCTAGTAAAATAGCCTTCTCGAACCAATTCTGCGCTTTTTCCAATCTTCTCTCGCCCCAGAAAATACGGGCAATAGTGACGAAAAGGATTGGATCGTTGTCGACTTTCTTGATAGCTTCCAATGCCCTTGGTTTCCTTTGCGTACGCGCTTCAAGATTCCAAATCGATTCTGTGTATAATAATCCACTGTTGGGTACCTCTTGGAGAGCTTTTGCCATCATGATTTTAGCCTGCGCAGTATTATTTGCGCGTCGTTCAACTCTGACGGATTCGGTCCACAATTCTGGTGATTTGGGGACTGCCAACCGGGCTCTGTCGAGGACACTACGTGCTTTGACTACCATACCAGCTCGCTCTTCGAGTCGTGAATATAGTAACCAGAGTGGAACAGACTTAGGACATGCCTTTGTGCCTGTGCTGTAAGCTTCACGGGCTTGTGGCATTTTGCCTTCGCCTTCATAGATTTGACCCTTCATCATCCATAATTTGGCTGCACCGGGGAACAGATTTAATCCTTGATTCGCAAGATCCAAAGCTGCGTCTATATTACCTAATTGTCTTTCGTATGCAACACTCTTTGTCCATACACGATCAGTTGGAGCTTCTTGTCGTGCCGTTTTGAGAAGTTCTCGTGCCTGTTCTGGCTGGTTGTTTTCTGCTTCTAGTTTCACGGCCGCCAGCCAAATCTCCTCATTGTTTGGATTTTGGTTGAATGCTTTACCGAGGACTCTTCGCGCGTTATCGACTTCACCGGCTAACCACTTCTCCTTTGCTAACATCATCCACAATACTTCACTGGTAGGGCGTGCTTCGACAGCCTTCTCGAGTAATTGCCACAAAGCTTCCTTGGTACCATGGTTCTTTTCTAGGTCTGCAGCTGCAAGCCAAAGCTTTGTGCTAGTAACAAACACTCGAAGTGCATAAGCATAAATAGCACGAGCAGTTTCATACTTTCCACGGTTGATGCTAGCTTTTGCATCCTCCATCCAAATGTCTTTTCGATCATCATCTTCGTCTAGTCCCCATCCAAGAGTTTCACGAATGATGTTACCACAAGTCAGAACTGCTCCCTCTTCCTCACACTTTTCTGCTTCAGTAATCCAGTCTTCTCTTTTCAACATGGCAGACTCCTTTGCTAGAGCTTTAACAGCACGGTTCATGACATTTATTTTAGAAGCTGTGCCCATTTGCTCACCAAGACGGGCAGCAGCTATCCAAATTTCATGGGAAGTAGGTATAGCTTTGCGAGCCTTATTGAGGACTTTTTGAGCATTCTCGGACGTCTCTAACCTTGCAAGAGCTAACCATAACTCGACTGAAAGAGGGATAATTTCGGTGGCTTTTGCGAGAAGTAGACGTGCATCACTGGGATCTTCCTCGAGATTGACAGCTTCTTTCCAGAGATTTACAGATTGAGGAATGTGATCTAACGCATGCCTAATGACTCGCTTCTTGGCTCTAGGTTCCGATTCTAATTTCATAGATTCAACCCATAACCGCACTGAACGATCGTTGTTTCTGATGGCATTTGCTGCAATAATCTTTGCGTTGTGGTTGTCATTCAATCGAATATTCTCCAGCCATATATCCTCGCTCTTGGGACAATACTCACAGCCACGCGCAATGATGTTGCGTGCCGCTACAGTTTTTCCTGCAAGTTCTTCGACACGAGCAGCTGCAATCCATCCTGGAGCATGTTTTGGATTTGTTTTGATAACAGACTCAAGCAGAGTTCGTACACGAACGATATCACCAACTTGGGTTTCTCCCTCGTTAATTTGGGATTTGGCTAAACTTGTAAGATATCCTTTCGGGTCGATATTGGTCGCACTTCCAGACATTGAATCGGTCCCTTGAGATGCTTGATCGAGTTTTACTTTGAGTACCTTATCTCTCGCTGCTCCAATATCCGCGAAATTAGTCATAGTTCCATCAGGTCCATCTCCTCCTGCACTTTCTCCACCATCATCCATTACAGTAGTCCCTAACTCAGTCGTGTCCCGAGCTCCAGCAATGACACTATCAGGGACTGCGTAAAACCTCTTTCTCAATTCCTGCTTGCTTCGTCGATTTTTGCCAGTCAAATCGCCTACTTCCGGTAAGTTTGCCCAATCTTCATCACTGACTGTTCCTAACGCTCGTTTCAGGTCCGCGAATTGTTGTTGAATTTTGGGATTATTGCGTTCGTATTCTTCCCTTTCTGCTTTTTCTCGTGCTTCCCTGTAGGTAAACTCGTCGGTAATCTGCTCATCTATTTTCATATGATAAACCAAATGCATTGGAGAATGAGGACTTGTAATAAATGGGGAGACAAACCTTCTTATTTTCCGCCTTCTATCCATCTTCTCATCTACTTCCTGGTAGATCCTATCTGCTTCATCATCGTCCTTGTCGTAAACGCCACCTGAAAATAACCCAACTTCATTGTCCGGATCCTGGAAGCGCTCATCGTCCTCCTCATCATCTTTTTTTTCTGTAGCTCCGTATGCTGTAGGAGCTGCTTGGCCGAGTTGAGCAGCGCGCTTTGCAAGAGCCTCTTTGATTTGATCTTCACTTGGTCCCTCTCGCGCAGGACCTAAATCAGATCGTGTTGTAAAACCTGTCGCTCCTCGACCTAAACCAGCAACATAATTTTCTGGCGCCTTTTGACTGAGGAAATCGCGTCGACCAGACATAATTGCGAACGTTATTGTATTTGAAATTCAAGATTCAAAGCATTGAAATAATGAAACCTCGAGAAAAGATGCAAGGCTGAGAGTAAATAAATATGTTAATCCCCGACAGCCTAACGATTGAGTAGCAGCCGTTTTGAAGTATTTATGTAATCATTGTAGATCCACTTGCGCACGGTCCATATGGCTCACAACTTCAGTAGATTCGGACCTCGCTTGGTACTTTTTTGCCTCTTTCTTCTGTTTGGAAAGCAACCGTAGCAACCCTTTCTTGTTTCTTTTTAAGTAAGAGTCTAGTAAGAGAAGACATAGCATTGACTATCTTCTCCTTCGGAAATATTCTCAAAGCTTGAAGATGTACGCTGTCTATCATCTTGGTCTTGGGGAATTTCCTTGGATCATTGGGAACCGCAGTCAAAGACATTGTCACATATAATTATCTCAAAGTTATACTCATGGCTTCAAAGCACAGAAGACTGACGCTTAGTACTTTATAGTTGGTATCCTAGCTTCTCGTTTTTGTGTAGAGGTTTGGTTTATGTAAGCTAGTTCTTTCTCAATGGACCCTGACTTCTTGCAAATTTAAATGGACAACATAAAGTAGGACACTAATGCAGGCTCCTGTTTAAATAGAATTGAAGGATTAGCCTATCCTGTGTATCATCTTAATTTTATTTCCTACAAGTGTAGAAAGGTTTTCAGTGGAACTATTGTATACATTCTAGATCCGCAACCTACAGACAAATACTACCTCGATGCACATGTTTCTATATGTATCATGCATGACGTCTTCATAAAGCTTGAGTAAGACCGTTGAACATATAAAACTTGAAATCGAGACTTTGTTTGAGGATTGGCAAAGGCATCGAAAGTAGCGATTATCTTCGCCCATCTAAACCCCTCCATTTATATGGTACAAAATTCTAGAATTGCTGTCCCGAGTATGACAATTGGCCATACAATACAACTCGTGATCTCAAAATTCTGAGACATCATGTTGCTACGTGGTTTCCTACCTTGCTCATGTTCCCAATAGCAGTGAGAGCTTGCACAGCACGAACGAGTCGCCTTGGCTATAATTTTTGCATTATGGAACCAAGCGTTCGACTTTCCCAGCCTCTACGCCATCAATTGTTGTGGAGTTATCATCTCAACTATTGAAGCCCAATCATGACTAGGTCTGTCTGCGTGGAATTAATTTCAATCAACGGCAAATCAAGGATTCTATGAATTCAGTTTTCGTGAACCGAACCGAATCTCCATCATGCAATCCTAGGTAACAAATCTAAGATATGGTTTGGTCTTTGTAGAACTCTGTATCTGTATTAAAACTAGAGCATAAACTTCACGACAACTCTTTTAAATCTCTAATCGTTGAACTTGATTTGATTGTCTGTTCTACTTGTGAACCACGTCACCAAGCTGAGCCTACTAACAATCTCTTAAACTGTGCTTCATCGTCGCTAGTTATACTTTCAATAGATAGAAATTATCAAAACAGACACATCTGGTGGTCTAGCTGTCTAATTCACCATTATAGACAAACCAAAACTCGAAATCTAAGCTGACAAATCTACAGAATGCAGACAGTCATCCGCAACAAATATAATCATTAAACACCCATCATGATTCCGGAGGCCACATGGCCCCAGCAACAAAAGGTTACAGCAATCAACTCAAATGAGAGGCTACAATAGCCATAGCAACACCACTGGTCATTTGGCCACAGCAAATTGAATATTTACAAAACTACAGCAATTTCAATGGTCACAATGACCACAGCAAAATTCGCGTTTGAAAATAGTTGTCCAAAAGCCGAGCGTAAGTGCATCTCCTTTCTCATAAATATGACAGCTTGGCCAACAAACATTTTTAAACCGTTTTGTTACTACACATTACTATGTTCTGATGATTCATACCGAAAATTTCTTAATTTTTTGAAAATAATTGATATGTGATAATACAAGTTTTAGGTTTTGGAAAGAGATGGGTTTGAGACTTTCCTCTTGGGCTCACAAAGAGATGGGATAGTATTAGAGTGGAACGAAACATTGCTAGTGACCGAGATTGAACCTGCGGAGTCCGTATGACATCCGTTGATATTTTTTATGTCTAAAGGTGAACCTTGATTGATCGTTGTAATCATAAATTGATATTCATCTATACTCTGCATACACTGCACCAGCGCCTCATCTCTGCCCTTGGTGTGAATATTTTGACCCGAATTACTCAATCAGAAGAAAAGAATCCTCGTGACCGAGAGGTCAACTTATTGAATTACTTGGATAACACAGGCTAGGTATAACCATATGTATCTTTTCGGCGCTCCAAAACATAATTTGAGATATATCAATGTGAGTGTTTTTAGATCAATAGGCGTCTCAGTTTCTCAGGTAGGATTCCGTTGTAAATCCATCACCTTGTTTCATAATTGCCAAGGAAAGACTCTCAGGAATTCAAATTTAGCCTAGTCATCACTTCTGTTCTTGCTTATCTAGATGTCGGAATATTCCACAGTTAATGACTTCATTTCCATTTTTTCGCTTATTTCTCAACCATTGAATTCACTGGGCTTGCTATAGAAAAGGCTCATTCTCATTTCTCTGTGAGACTGCAAAGGATGCCCTTGTAAATCTGGTGTTAATGCCGGATGTATTTTTACACAAGTTCCTCTCGTTATTGAAATGTTGTGAATTGTGTAAGAATTCTCGATTGGTCGTCAAGGATTGATCAACTGCTTTCTCTGCTGTCGATTTCCAAGGAACAATCTCGCATTTTACAACATTCAAGATTTTAGAGTTTATGGGATATAGACATGTGTATGGTCTGTAAATATTAATATTAATATTGATATTATAGAGCGGCGAATTCTGCTATTCAAAGAGGGACATTATGTTGTCGTGATAGAACAGTTTTGCGGAGCGAGGTCACACCTTCTTCCCCACTCCCCAAAAATTTCTACACCATCCACTACAGCTGGAAACCTCATAGATACCTCCAGTAGATCTTCCAGTTAGCCTCAGCAGCCGCCATCAATTCTGGCATCAAATTTCTTTCTTCCCATTCTGCGATCATCCTATCCTTGTATTCCCAAAGCGGATGAGTAGATCTCCCAAAAGTCTTAAAATCATCATAGTAAGCTAGGTCACAAGCCTCAGCTAACTCCTTGGCTTTCTCATACAATACAACATCAACTCTGGAGATGAAATCCGGTGGCGTTAATGCATCGTCCTCCTCAACGTCGGCGCTTCCTCGATATGCTGCCTCTGCATTGTCGATTTGGCCTTTGACCTCTTGAATCGTCTTTAGCCATTCTTTGAATACTGGTGGAAATGTGTCCGGCATGAGACGACTGAAAATCAGTCCATGGCCTTCCAAAGTATGCTGTACTTTAAATTCCTCCTCACAACGTTCGTCCATGATCAACATAGATTTGGCGTCGTCCTTAGAAATTCCAAACGTGGCGTCGAAGATAATTTCCAACTGCGGAAATTTATTGGCTTGGCGGAGTGAGTTTGGTAAGAAAACTTTGAAGGACTGTCTGCGTTCCATCTCCATAGTATCTAGTTGCGATTGTGTTTTCCTAAGCGCAGTTCCCTTCTCCTTCACCATTCTGAAATACATTGATCTCAACCTAATCAACTCTAGCATATTTACTTGTTCCGTCAAAAGACGTTTTTCGCCGAGCTCCTTCTGGATTTTACCAATTATCTTCATTGACTCTTCATAATAGATGCTGTATTTGGGAATTAAATCATTGGCGAAGTCAGAATTTGATCCATTGGAGTCGTTGGCATTAGAATAAGTCCGATGAGTAAGGGGGATTCTTGTTTTAAGAGCCATGAAAGGTCTTCGGAAAGGTTGTTGGCACCATTTTAGTAAAAAGGAAGGACGCGAGAGACGTATTTTTTGATTAAGCTGATCGAAGGTAAGGTGGATGGATGGATGAATTTATTTAGAATGAAATTCAAAGCTTTTGAATAAATTGTAAGAAACTTAAAACTTATTTGTATTGGAAGAGTTGATTTAGAGACCGTAGTATCGATAATTGATGTGTTGAAATAAGGGCGATTTTTTGTTTGTACGGCTTCCGACTTCAAGGATACCTACCTGGGTACCTATTCAGGCCTATGGCCTCATCAAGGCATAATTATAGTCTATCATGTTTGTAGTCATACACTTGCAGAGCCGAATATTGATGAATATTTGTTAAATCGTTATTGAATTTGTATTTATATCCCACAGCGCTCAAATAGTATGAAAGAATCACGCCCCTCGTCAATGCATAATATTCGACTTGAGGAGTTCAGCGTGACAGGGGAAACTTCGCCAGTGGTAACGTCAAACAGCTAATGGCACGATAGTACCTTCACGTAAGTGGGCCTCCCCCCTTCATTCCCAGTAGTACTTAGTTGATGTGGCGTGTTCCGCGGCCGAAATTGATACATGCTTAAATTCGATATCACTGCGGCCAATTTCAATCCACTAGACGCATGTCCGCGACCAAGTCGACATATATCATACATTCCTTCATTCCTGCAACCCTGCAAATATACTACACCAATGTACCTCGTTTGTAATTGTCGTTCATTTCATCCTTCTCCCTCGCCTTGTAAAGGACCTCTGGATGTCTGTGCACACTCGGCATCATACCCAAACCAATAGACCTCCTAATTGCCTTTGCAATCTTTCTCTGATTGACCGGCCTTAATCCAGTTTCCTTACTTCCTCTAATTCTTCCCATCGGTGTTACATATTCTGACATGATGGAGAAATTCTACAATATCTCATTAGTCCACTTAAGGCTTCTCTCAAAACCCCCTAACATCTTACTCTCTCGATTCCCGAAAGAAAAACTGACCTTGTAACTTCCGGTAGCTATAGGATCAAAAGCAACCACATCAAAAACATCCCTCGTAACCTTTCCCCTCTTCTTCCATTTCGCCATTTCTATTCCACTCAAATCATGTGGCGCATACACATCTCCAGCTCTCCACCTTCTATGTATTTGTTTTGTCAAAGCTGATCTCGAAACATTGTCTTCGTATTCCTGAGCCGCAGTTTGCTGCACCCTAGAATTGGCTGCTAATGCCTTGCGTCGCTCGTTGCCTTTTTCTTGAGCTTTGTTCACAAGAGACATCAGACTATCGTAACCTCTCATTTCTGAGGATGATGCGTCGGATCTTGGAGGAAGTTCTGCGAGGAGCATTAGCAATTGGCTTCGTGGTGGAAAGACTGTTGAATTATAATTGACATACCAGCGGCCAGAATTCTACCAGTTGAAAATCGCATTCCGAGGAACGGCGACGATACCGCATTGCGCGCGGCGTTTAAACATTGTAGTCGAGGAGGCATGGTTGCTATACTTGAACGATTCAATACCACAACCACTTGGTGTTGCTCAATACCAAAATCTTGAAGTCCAAAGCGGGCCGAAACCCCGCATCGGAGCTGGTTATTCCGATGACCCGCAAAAATTTATTCTGATATCTACAATGGAATAATGATAGCCATCAAACATTTGCGCCAGACACAACATCTTTCAAATCTTCCAATTGAACTCAATTATACAAAATGGTTCGTAAACTCAAGCATCATGAGCAGAAGCTCCTTCGAAAAGTCGACTTCACAACCTACGCGTCAGATAACAATCATCGAGATGCGGCTGTTATACGGAGATATGCGATCCAGAAACCTGGGGACTACCAAAAATACAATAGACTCTGCGGTGTAGGTTTCTAGTTCTCGTGACAGGAACCATCAGGTACTAATATATACATATGAACAGTCTCTCCGTCAACTCGCCCACAAACTCACACTCTTACCTCCCGATTCCCAAGTCCGTCTAAAGCAAGAACAGCTTCTCCTCTCTAAACTTCACGACATGGGAATTCTTCCCTCCACCGCTTCCACTTCCAAACTTTCCTCCGTCGAATCGCACGTTACCGTTTCCGCATTCTGTCGAAGACGTTTACCAGTTGTAATGACGAGATTAAGAATGGCAGAGACGGTGCAGGCTGCGAATAAGATTATTGAGCAAGGACATGTTAGAGTGGGCACGGAAACTATCACAGACACGGCATTTTTAGTTACGAGAAGCATGGAAGATTTCGTTACTTGGGTGGATGGTTCGAAGATTAAGAGGAATATCTTGAAATACAGAGAGAAATTGGATGATTTTGATTTGTTGTAGAGGATCGGAGACGAGGTTATGCATAGTTGGAGTCTTGGACGTAGGAAAAATTGCTTTGCTCGGAGTTTCGGGGTTGATGGATTTATTTGAGAGGGATACCTTGAACCAATTCATGGATAAAATAAGTTGTAAAGTATGACAAGAAACTAATGATTTCGATGGTCCCAGATTCCTGGAGATGGAGTGCGAATCAGCTTGATTATTAGATTCATGCAAAGAGAGATGAAAGTAGGACGACAACGGAGATTCCTGAAATTAGAGGATATGGAGGATGGGTGGTCTCATGATTGGGTTTTAACTTGAACAGCGATATAGCAAAGGCTATGATAGAGCGTCCTTCATGGAAATCCCAAGCTTAAGTATCTTTCGGCGGGCGATCACCGATTTACCACAATCATGATGAATACTATTGTGATTTCTGCAGACAATCACGCTCATTCCTCACAGCTGTACACAAAAGTCAACTTATTAGATTCTCTGGTCAAGGTTCACCAAAAATCAGCCTTCTGATATCAGATACAGATGCAGAAACCTAGGTAGCTCCATCATCTGATATCATTTAACTTTTTTTTCATCAATCCTTTTTACTTGCTTGTGTGAAGAAACACTTCTGTTTATTATCATCTAAAAGCCATCATGGCAAGTGTCATCTATACTATCATTATATTCAAAGCTTTTAGCTTTTTTAGCAAATCGTTCAAACAACAGCAAGCTTTGAAAAACAAGTCAATTTCCCCATAATAAAGTCATGAATGTTTAAATTTCTTGCGCTTGTTTGCCTTCATTACACTAAAGCTTGCCACAATCCATATGAACTGATTCCTCAAATACACACGCACTGCGAATCTCCCATGTTCATTTTGGTATGAATTTTTTACTCAAAAGCCCCAGCACAACCACTTGCAACACTCTGGATCCGATTCGCATTCACATGACGCAGCGAAGTTGGCATGTTGTTCGCAAAAAAAGATACACTATCTCCAGCACGCTTACCTAGCACCTGCAATTCAGCTCCCGCAATAGCGCTAGATGAAGATGCACTCGTCGTAGAAGTTGTAGCCATACTCGCCGAAGCAGCATCAGAAACACCATAATACGTCTTGGTGGGAAAGAAATTAGGCTCTTGAATATAAATCGTCTCGCCACAGAGAATTTCCACAGCGACGAATTCTCCGGTCGTGAGGGCACTAACAGGGACTGTAACACCTGCAACAGCGGTATTGCACATCGTGGGTGTAGATGTGGATGTGGATGTGGCGATCGTGGTATTTAGTGTCCAGGAGGCGGAGATACCGTACCAGGTCTTGGTGGGGTAGAAATTAGGCTCTTGGATGTAGATTGTTTCCTCGCAGAGAACTTCGACCGCGACGTATTCGCCGGTTGTGAGAGCGCTAGCGGGAATTGTTACGCCTGCGACGGCGGGGTTGCATGATGTTGTTGTGGCTGCGACTTGCTGTTTGTCTTCGATGATGGGTGTTAGGATGAAAGTTGGTGTTGAATCTGTTGATGATGATGCGGAAGCAGGAGTATCGGTAAAAGGGTCTCCGGATGAAGAAGCAGAAGCAGAAGCCGGAGCATCAGTAGAAGAATCTTCAGATGAAGAAGCATCGAACTGCGTGCTCGCAGCAGGGAAATCAGAGGTAGGAAAACTATATGGTGTATTTCCAAATGTACTCGTCACAGCAACAGCTCCCGCCGCGTAGGTGCTGGAGCTGGTGCTGGAGCGAGTAGGCTCCGGCACACCCCATTCTGTGGCGGGGAAGAAGTTGGGTTCTTGGATAAAAACGGTTTGGCTGGAGAGGATGACGATTCCGACCTGTTGGGTTGGTGTTAGGATTAGTGATGGTGTTTTTCTTGAAAGACTGATCGGGTGGCTGTTTTAAGTGATTCTAGGTTGAGCAAATTGGTGGTAGGGTGATGTGGAAAGAGAAAGGGGAGGGACCAAATGTGGTAGGAAGAAAGTCTAGAACTTACTTGCTCACCAGTCGTCAAAGCAGAAGTAGCAAGTGTAGTAAAGAGACCGAAAAGACCTGATACTCTCACGCCTGTAGCTTCTTCCTCGCTACGCTTGATAGGGTTCCCAGAAACAATGACACAGAGAAAGGACAGGATTGTCAGGAAGTTGATTGTAAAGACGGGAACAAACATTTTGAATGAGAGACGGGTGGTCATATGTTTTTGTGTTGTTTTGTTTTGTCTGTATGGTGTGTGTGTGAGGGGGGAGAAACTGAGGGAAGAGAAAGAAAGAGAAAGAGAAAAACAAGAAATGACAAGTCTACCAGAAAACACGAAAGAGAGATGCTGAATATTCATTGACTCCGCCACTTCCTTTCAAATTCCTTTCAAATCTCTTTTCGTGTTTCTATTCTCTATAGTGAATGTTATGGATGGGAAATGAGAAGATGAATATCAGATCATGATACTTTCAAGAGGGGAATCATCACTCCGAAGACCGAGAAGTGAATAGGTAGGTAGTAAGTTTGTGATGAATGTGTGAGGTTGTTTGGTTTGTTTGGGTGATGAGTGTATTGATGATGATTTCTGGATGGAGAGTAGCAAGTAACAAATAGTAAATACAATCAGGAAGTAGACAATCTTTGTTAATATTGCCTTCTTGAATAACTTAATGGGACTCATTTCCAGATACAAAATACTATTTAATTCACACGAATACCTCTCCAAGTGAAGAACTCAGCATCAATAGATGCTACTCATCCATTCATCTCATCAACATTCTCACTAGGTAGTTACCATATAATAAAAATCCACCTAGCTACCCCTCCATCCAATGAGTAACTCTACTTCACATTCCCCCTCTACACTTCACCTTGAAACATTCAAGATACCCCGAGGTCAATCTAATACAAATCAAAACAAAGCTAATTTCGGATTCGGTTCGAGTTATCATGTCATGTCAAGTAATCAAACCCCTCATATACCAATTTCAGCTACTGTAGAAATGTAATGAGAAGCGGGGAAGCTTGTTCACAAATGTTTATATATACCTCCCCAATACCTATGATGTCCCCTCTTTCTTTGTAAAAGTATTCCTCTTTCTCCAGATACACTCTTTCTAGTATCGATTTCGGAAAGCTCGTTTCATTGTAAGATACTTTTGACATCTCTGTATCATAACTATACATACAATTTGTTTGTACTTTCAAGTTTGATTTAGTTTATTGTACTTCCAGCTTCCAAAATCTTTGTACAATTGTATCCTACTACATAGCGAAGAAAAAGCTACATACATACCTGGCAAAATGGATCGTCAAAGAGATGATTCGGCGGAGCGCAGTCGCAGTATGTATATCTTCTATCATCCCTTCGAAACTTACCTGCTGTAGTAAAATCTTCACTAGACTGACACATTCAACAGATAGGGATTCAAGGGAATCTTGGCGAGAGGCTACTAGGTATGTTAACTCTTTCTTCCTCTCTTCCTCTCTTCCTCTCTTCTTATCCCTTTCCTCATACAAACTAACAATCCCCCAGCATGCCCCTCCCCCTTTCACCCCCACCTGCAACCCGCCAAAATCCCCCAGGAACAGCAGCAACAACCACAGCAAGCACCACCACCACCACCACCACTCCAGCCCCTCCACAACCCCGGCTCTCTCACCATCATCAACACCCCATCCCCCCACCAATCCACCCGCCCTTCCACCCCTACACCCCCCAACTCCACCCCCCCGTCTCCACACCGGAAAACCTCTTCAACAGAAGAAACCTCCCACCCTTCACACCTCTCCCCATCGCTGATCTCTACCAGCCGGGAGGAACCTCCTACGCTCCACAATCAGGAATATCCGGTGGTTCAACCCTGGGAGCCGGAGTAGGAGCTTCTCATACCATTCCCGTTGGCGGTGCTGGCGATATGCACGCATCCGGCACATCTTCCAATGCGGGATTTCCCAGCGCCAAAGGAAGATATACTCTCCCAAAACGAGAATCCAACGGCAAAGCATCGGCGACCGCTTCGAAGCCGTATGTCGTCAAACCCAAGTCCAAATCTTCAGGCGTCAAATCCTCCCGAGTTTCCAAGTCCAAGAAAGCCTCGGAGTCCTCCGGCACAGCAACACCCGCTGCAGAGGATCTCAATACATATGTGGATACCATCATCGACACCCTGAGTAAATCCCTCTTATTCCCCCAGTCATCTTTCGAGTCTTGCTAATACGATTGCGATATAGCTGGCACAATTGCCGATCTTAATGGTGTCGCGCAGGGTATTCGTAATGTACGAATTGAGGAGGAGCGGAGAATACAAGCAAGAGCGGCTGCTGCTGCTGCTGCTGGTGAAAGAGGAGATCTTGCGGATGAGGAAGAAGAAGAGGAAGAAGAAGAAAGTATGTTATCTGATTAGGCTGCGATTGTTGACTTTGCTAATACGTTCTAGATTGATTCGCATCCCAATTTTCCTGGTCTCGTCGTTGGTTGTCCTAAATCTGCACCTTGATATGAACCCAGGTTTTTGATCAACAAGAAGAGACAATAAGAGACCTTCTGCGAATCCAACTCTTCGATCGTTTGTCAGCAGGACGTTTTTCGCACATTGTACACACCGACCAGAAAAAACCTCACGTGTCCTCCTATATCAGTGGGATGATGTCGAAAAATTGTTGATACGAAGCTCCCATAACTTCGGTGGCTCTAGTGTGGTTTTAGGATGTATAACTTCGGGTATCTAGAAAACCGTTATACATGGTTGGATACTGCAAAGCTCTTTAAGGACGGGTTCCTGGGAGTATGGGGGTCGGACTAGATACTTCCATGATGGGAGTTTTGGTTTTATGATAGAAATAATAAATGGTTGATTGACATCTTGAATGATTTTGTGAGATAGCAGTTGTTGAATGTGAAGATAAGAATGATGTGCCACTTGAATCATAACTTGCCTACAAAGACAATAATTGACACCGTCGTTACTATAAAAAACTATACTTTCAAGTCTCTTGACTTCAAACAGAATTGTGGGCTGAAAATACATCGGAATAATATGTAAGCCAGTTGAAAGTCGATGGCAATATTAATATCCCATGGTACCGTTATTTATTATATTCTGCCCAACATATAGTCTTGTGATGAAATGGATTCCATGGAACAAGTTATTCACCCATTATCATTACAATCCTCCAAATCTCTGAAATTCCCAGAAAACACTCAAGCCCAACACTCGAAGACCTCATCTCTGAAAATAACTACATTCGAGTAACAGCTAACAAGTAGCGAGAAACCACATAACCTCCTCCAAAAAAAGTTTTTCAACTTCAACCTCGAATTCTCTTCAACTTATTAAGAACATCCCGGATTTGCAGCGAACTTTCGTATTGGAGAAGGAGGAAACTAATAGATTCAAATGCCTAGGGAATTTGAAGCAAAAGAATATAACCCTTTGACTACAGTGCATTGTCTCCTCCTCTCTAGATCTCAAACTGAAAATAGCATCATGAGTCACTAAGTGTTTGATCAACGTTTACCTTTCTTATTCTAATAAGCAATGAACTCGCGGAAGAATGAGAAATTCCTTGCACAGGATAGTGAGAGTACAATCAACCTTTCAACAGACCCTCACAATAAATGAAATGAAAGATATCAAGACACCAACTAAAGCCTATAAATGACATGCATTTACAACTCCAAACCCAAAATTGCAAAAATTACAAAAACAATCATCATGAATACTCCAAATAATGTAACCTCTGGCCTCTATTGCGAAATAGACAGATTCAGATGCTTACAATGCGGGCACGATGATTATCGCCACAGATACCGATGTGAGAGACATCTAGTTGAGGATGCTTACTGTAGAGAGGCGATACCCATGATCACGCCAGATAGAAATGTGTTTTGTAGAGATTGCGCAGAAGAGTAAGTTTTGAGTCTTTCCTCGTTTTCTATAACACAACTAAAATAAACTATGGTCAGTGATGATCTAGAAGCTAGTAACCAAGGACATATGTCACCGAAAATGCCAGTGACTCAGCATGTATCCGTCGGTAGCAATATCACACAAGGAGGAACAGGAAGCCAACCTGTGTCTACCAATAATTCGCAAGCACCGGGTCCTGCCAATCCAAATATGTCATCAGAAGGGTGGAATGAGCCTGGAGGTGTTCAACTTTCAACGTTCAACTCACAATCCTCAGCTCATGCATCTCCAGACCAAGATCTCGAGATAGCACCACTGGTGTCTCAAATCCCCCTCGCAGCACCGCCATCATTAGAGAATAGTAACACAACCACAGCACCACCACCAACACTAGAACCAACACTAACATCGGAACCAACACCACCACCAACACCAGCACTGGAATCATCACCGGAACCATCACCGGAATCATCATCGGAACCAGCAGCGGAACCAGCGATAAGACGGACAGGAATTTGTGAGAGACTCCGTAGCTGGTGCTGTTGCATTTCCGAAGAACCCGCCACATAGAGACAACTTTGCACCAAGGAACAAGTGGAAGGATTTAAACGAGATCATGGCAGATTGGATATCAGAATTATTCTGACTGCTGTGGTATCCGTCTCAATGCTTGAGTTTAGATATGACATGAAAACTGTGCCGCGATATTTAACGCATGGTTATGAAATTGAGATTGTTCATTCCGTATTGAAGATTGAAAGTTCTTCGTTGTTAACTAACACAAACCAAAACTCGACGTTGTGTCATTTTTCCAGACCACCGCATGTACTTGATCAGTAGGCGATCACACCCAAAGACATCACATGATTGTGATGATTGAACAGTGCTATCATAAACCGGCGTCTAATATCTTCTCATTGACTTCAATAAGATACCTATATATAGCCCAATGCCGGTCATTTGCCATGATGATCATCATGTTCTATCTTGTATATGACTACCAAGCAGGTGCATCTTTTGGAATCAGAATGCACTAGCATGCTATATATTGTTTGGTTTAGAGTTATATATTTTAACATAGATGGTAATGTCAGACTATACCTCATGCGCAGTGTTGTGAGATACGTTAATCATCATCGTGCTCGAGAAATGGCAGAAGCCTGTCTGAACGATTCAGTATCACGAGAAGCAATGGTAGAAAACGCAATATCGGTACTTGATGACAGAGAAAGAATTCTGGATGAATCCAGTTAGGTCGAAGGAGATCTGCATAAAATGCTTGCACTTCTTGATACTTATCGAGCAAAGAATACGATGTATATCGACGAGCTCTGTATCATTTCAACCTGACCGTATGGCGCGCAACCAAACATCAAACATAGATTTCCACGAGGCGAAGTGAAGGATGAGTGGATACCGTTTCAATTTCCTTTCGTAAGCAATACCATACCCAACCAATTAGATACCCTCACAACACCATCGGTCCCCAGCAGCAAACACAGCCAGCTTTGAAACCCAAAGATCCGAGATGATCTCGAGGTTAAACCAGCCTTATATTCTTAAACTGATCGACTACTTAAATAAACTCAAAGAATTGGGCGCTGTAGATCGAAAAGCCTAATTGCCCTACTTGCATGGATTGCGTGCAGGCTGGACTCTGTGATCTGTGGTTTCTACTCGGTCTTTATTGATGGTCCCGTTTTTTGAAACTTAACCTGTGAATATGCTTCATCTAGAACGATAGTAATGATGTGAAGAAACCACATTGACGCCCATGACTATTTTGACCGCTAATGTGGCGGTTAAGGGATGACTATCGAGTTGTATCTATCTAAGGGGGCGTCTTGGTGGTAAAATGAAAGCGAATATCCGTTATCTCGTGGCGCAGCAATGTGAGTTCAGCATTTTTGACCATCTCCCTAGATCGTATGTAACTTCACATGCGGCTCTGTTGAAGGCTGAGGTCTGGTAGATGATGTGCTAAGTCTCTAGCTTGTATCATTAGTATGTATACCCGAGCACAAGCCGCGGGCACTACGACAACTAGCTACACACCAATATGACTGACCATGAGAAGTTTGGATGGAACTGGTTCACTGTTTATTGCGAACTTTATTTGTGAATGTTGAATGTGCATGGTAGAATATCCCTACGATACGAGTGCGTCATCGTCATTCATTCGCTTTTCTACGCCAAACTTTCCACGCTGCATAAGTTGGTCATTTTGTATCATTTTGTACAAGGATACGCCCCTCCAGCTCTCGGGCCAGGGCGAATAGATAGAAGGTCTCTCTCTCCCTAGATGATAATACCTCCCTCTTATAATACGTGCGACGATGTGAAGAATGGATTGAACGAACATTCGAGAGGTTGGGAGGGATAAAGAGTAAAGAGATTAAAGATCATAGTAAACGTTTTAATATAAGTCAGGTAAACACAAGGCAGTATCGAAATGCCTTCATATATACCTATTTACACCAAAAGAAATGCGAGATCTTACTACCGACCTTGTGTATTTCCATCTCCATCTCAACTGTATCAGTCAAGTGTCAGAAAAGCTTTGCAAGACAGAACTCCGTAAGAATCACGAGGCCCAAAACGGGACCGAACACAAACTTCTGATTACTTCCTTTTCCTCGAATGCTGTACCTAGGCTGTCACGCTTCCTTGGATGATCCAAAACCTAATCCCAGCGCTACGAGGGTTGTTGTTCTTCACCAGATCAAATACTCCAAGGTTCCCCGTGGTTGAGATAGGTACCCAAAGAGATTTGACAAGTAGACGCCCGAGATATCGTTGTGATTCCATGCTGTACGGTAAATTGCTTGCTTTGCTTCTTTCGTTGAGTAAAAGTTGAGGTGTGGATTTGTGCATTTGTGCATTTGTGCATTTGTGTACTCAACCACCGAAAAGCTTGACTTCGCCCAATTCACATATGTACACTGACGCAAATTTCCAGTCCACTTCCACTTTCATCCGAAGTCCCCACTGTCAAATTGTTTACCCCCCTCCCCCCCAATTACTCGAGTATCGTGGTGGAAATTTAAAGAATCACCCCTCATCATCTATTATACATATGTTTGGTATAACTCATACGCATTACATATAATAATAAGCTTCTCACCAACAGCATCAAAACATCTATTATTCATTCACTTCTCAAACTATATAAATCAATCATTTGGCTTACATCACGAGATGTCGACATAAGCTATTGGCGCATAAGGCCGTGGGACCAACCATATCAAATCCTAATCATTAAAATTCATTCACTACCTACCTACCTACCTACCTCCCTACATACATACGCTCGTGTCAGGAGGGGCAAGAGGAAGAGTGAGCGCGCAAAGTATCAGCAGCAAAGCCTCGATCCAAAGTAATCCTCCAACTTCCAACCCCCCCCCCAACCAACAAATAACAACCACCTACAACTTCTGGTCTTCTTTTTCTTCTTTCTATTAAAATCATTTCCAACCAACAAATCTATTTGAAAACATATACTGTGTGGTCTCCGGACACATTTACGATTTACCCTTACTCTTTTGGCAACAACTACAGGGTAAACAATTCAAAATGCCTGAAAGAGTTGTTCGCAGCTCTTATCATGACCGAGAGGTCGACTATTATTCTTCCGATGAAGAACGGTCAACTTACGGTCGTTCGAAGCCAAATGGTAGTACTTATCGTACCGTCCAACGTTATCGGGTCGCACCTAATCGAGTCGAGGAAGTAGACGACACTCGATCCGTTCGTTCTTCCCATCGCGAGTACGAAACTCGTCAGGGTGATCGAGTTGAAGTGGATCGTCGCGTCGAAATTGATCGCGAACGTGAACGATATGAACCAGAAGTACGACGAACGGAACGCATCGAAGTAGACCGAAGAGTTGAGGTTGATCGCGAAAGATACGAACCCGAGCCAAGACGCACCGAACGTATTGAAGTTGATCGCAGAGTAGAAGTGGACCGATATGAACCAGAAGTCAGAAGAACGGAGCGAATTGAGGTTGATCGAAGAGTTGAGGTTGATCGTGAACGATACGAACCTGAAAGACCCCGTTCAGCTGTCGACTATGATCGAGCGGTTGAGTATCAGAGAAGTACAGTCGAGCGAGCTAGAGAACCCGAACGTGAACGAGATCGCACTAGAACAGTAGTTTATGAGCGGGAGCGGGAACGAAGCGGAAGTCCCTTACCTTGGGAACGGCGTCGGAACGATAGACCATGGGAGACGGATCACGAAACTGATGTCACAGTTGAGAAAACAATAACTCGACGTCATAATGAACCCTATGAACTCGAAAGATACTCCCGAGAAACCGAATACTACGATCGACCAGAACCTACCCCACCACCAATTATCATTCGACAAAAAGCTCCAGAACCCCAACGAATTATTGTTCAAGAAGCGCCAAGCCCTGCTCCAATCATTATACCACAAATTGCGCCAGAATCACAACGGGTTGAAGTTATTGAAAGGAAGACGGAAATACAACAAGAAATCATTCCACGGCCTGAACCACGCAGAGAAGAGGATGAGTACTATTACCGCCGAGATGTTCGTGAGGTTGGTGGAAGAAGAGATCGAGACGATGATTATGATCGTCGTTACGATGATGGATATGATAGCGAAGGTTATGTCATACGAAAAAAGGTTGTCAAAAGAGAAACACGCAGTCGTAGTCATAGCCCTCATCACCGAAGACATTTGGCAGAAGGTGCCTTAGCTGGTGCTGGTGCAGCTGCTCTTTTGGCAAGCCACAAGGAAAAGCAAGGATCTGAAATTGCTCATCGTGGAAGAAATGTTATTGGTGGAGCTGCATTAGGTGCGATTGGTGCCGAAGTAGTTACTAGAGCACGCAGCCGTTATCGTGACAGTCGTGAGGGCAGAAGCAGGTCCAGATCAAGCAGCCCACATGGGCATCATAAGTTGAAGACAGCCCTTGGTTTGGCAGCTGCTGCAATTGCCGCTGGAGCTGCTGTCAAATATGCCCAGAACAGGAGCGCAAACAAGGAAGAGTTAGTTCGTGGTCGAAGTCGACAAAGAAGTATGTCTCGTGGTCGCCGTTATTCCGATGGCGATGAATATTGGTCCGATGAGTATGAAAAGCGTACTACCATCATACGTGATGGAAGCAGGAGCAGGAGCAAGAGCATACATGCCGACCCAGCACATCGTAAAAAATCCATGGCAAAAGCTGGAGCTGGAGCTGCTATAGTCGCTGGTGTCGCAGAGCATTTCCGGAATAAATCCCGAAAGCGTAGTGGTCAACGATCGCAATCACGAATTCGAACAGCCGCGGAGATAGCTGGATCAGGTCTTGCGGGTGCTGCAGTGGCCGGTTTGTATGAGAATAGAAAGGCCAAGCAGGAGGCCGAGGAAGATGATGTATACGAGAGACGGGAGAGAAGAAGAAGCAGGACTAGGAGCAGAACTAGAAGCAGGTCGAGAGCCAGATCTACAGGCGTATATTCTGATCCAGGTGTTGACCCAGAATTAGGCATGGTTCAGTACGGTACTGAACCTGTATACACGCACCAGCAGCCAGCACCATTCGATCGACCTAACGA